GGACTTCACTAATGCCTACTATATCTAATTCTAGCCTATTCATTTCAACAAAATAAATGACAATAATTCTTTAATATAATTAATAATCAAAAAAATAATTATAGTACATCTTTTATTAGGGTTATTTAGCATTAACAATGTAGCCCGTAGCTTTCTTTGTAGTTTTTTAACAATTAAAAGTATAATAATAGTGAAAACTGAAGACAGTTAATCAAATGGAACAGAATGTTAGAAATTCGATGAAAAAACTAAAATGCAGTTAAAGTGTAGACTTCTGTGTATAGTTAGTTGCTGATTTGGATTCAAGATCTTTTTGTTTGGATTGTTCATTTAATTAGACATGGTTTAAGACGGTTCAATGGTACCTCTTAATAGATTCTAAAAGAGAAATCTTTTTAGATGTCATATAAACGTTGTTATGAAATGCTTACTTATATCATTCTTATTATGAAATGCTTAAAATTAGAAATATACAACCTTACTTAAAGTATGACTATGGCACAGTCATTTTTTGGTTTAGTACTTAAATGCTTACGTATCTACTGTCATATTCGCAATGTCATGGAAGATTTAGTAGAAGAAAATTATTGATTAAAATTAAAAAGAAAAATCACAAGTTTTTCCTTTGCCATTTGTTTTTTGTTCTCTAAAGCAATTAGTGACAGAATCAGGTACGTTTTATATGGCAATTCAATTGTTTGAATTAACAATCATTTGAAGATAATAAATATAATTAACACACCAATGATTATAAATCTTCGAGAAAACATGTCCACATATTACATTTGTCTTATTTATTGACGGCATAATACATACATCTACGTAATTGCTGCTTATTTGTATAATTAAAAACAAATTTTTTAGTAGGAAAATCTAATTAAAAGTTTTTTAAGTAGATATTTCATGTATATAATATAAGTTCTATGTATCTGTGACCTAATACATAAGTACGTTTCATCGTTGTTATTGCTATCACCTCTTGTGGTTTAACACTCAAAGTATTGGTGCGTGACGCCAGGGGTCCCGGGTTCGATTCCCGGCAAGGGTCAGACAGCAGCAACAATTTTTTCCTCAATTTATAGTGTATAAAAATTAAATTTTCACATTAATATTTAATATAAGTAGTATTAATATATAACCTAACCACTATTGAGGTTCAAAGTGTTTCATATAACTGAAATGTGTATGTTTATATACGCTATTGGCTTAGTTAAGTTAATAAAATACCCACATTAACTTATGTAAACGCAATTTTTAAGAAGAAAATCTCCTCCCGCCTACCACGACTTCCAAAGCCCTCTTTAGTTTTATTTGTTTTGTTCTGCAACATACTCATTATTGCCTATTTACTTACAAATATTACGTACATTGTCTGAGTAGGCCTTGGTTTATATTAGGATGCTTATAGTAACTAATAATAACTAAGATATTTATGTATGTACATGTTTATAACAACTGCACAGCCGTATTATATGCAAATATCATTGTTTTATTCGAGTCAAGTGAAGACTTAAACAGTGTTAGGCCCATGTATGTCAACAAATCTTAATGGAGAAAGTAATTGATTGTTTAGGTTTGATTATGTAAGCGAAGTTTTGGCAAAGGACCCGGCTTTCTGACTAGGTACGTGATTAATTAGAAATAAGTAAATATTAGAAAATACTTGCATATTTAACTGTAGACATAGAATAACAAGATTAAAGTAAAATTCAATTAAAACCTTCATGCATTTATTATAAAGCATGAAACAATTTGGTTTCAACTTTAACTTTGTTACCATGTAGATTAAAATACGTTCCTGTTAGTCAAGGTTACTTTCCTGACGCATCATCGAAGTCTCCAAATCAATTACACATTTATTATCCCCTTAAGGATAATATATATAAATTTACGACCTAATATTTTCAGAACTAGAATTAACTGGAAAGAACATTCTCGGTATCGTCAATTTTTTCTGTTAAATTATAAATTTCGACTATAAATAATACTTTTTTAATTCACATTTTTATTACACGATTATTTTCAACGTCATAACACCAACAAGATAAAGAGGAACTGAAGTTTATTACATTAATTAGCCATATGTAATTATCTATTTTAATAGAGTTCACAGGGCTAAACATTGGCTTGTACTTTAATAAGCAAAATTATACTTACACTGGTTTATTTCCACTCAACCAAATAAAAGTGTCTAAAATAATAGCTGGTAGATAATGGTAGAAGATAACACAAAGGTTGTGTATGAACCTCGATCTCTTCATAGATCCGCCTGGATACCAAGCGACACCATTCAGAGGCATCCTGGTTGCGATAACTCTCCTACCTATTTCAATAATCTCTTGATTTGTTATCTGATACTCTGACGAACTTGTAAAATTAAAATAGGTTTTTGGTCTAAAACAATATACCAAATTGAATGAACAAATTTATAACACATATAATCCTCTAAATTAAGGATATCTACTCTATGAAAACGATCAAAATAAATTGTTTATTTCTATTTGTTCTTTGAAACGTACAACTCACTTTTGCGTTAAATAGTACCACGTCACAACAATCGAACCATTGACTAAAATATCTACAGGAAGGTAATCAGCATATCCATCTTGATCACAATACATCGTTCTTAAAACGCCCTTTCCAGCGGCTATTAACAGACCCATTGGACCGTTTATATTGTCCGTCCAACCAGGTAATGGTTCTTTCCATATTGGTATAACTATTACAAAAATTCAGTTTTATTTGAAAATGGACAATTGCGAATAGAGGCACGACGAATTCAAAAAAAATTTCTACTAAAGTTGAGTAAAAAAAAAAAAAAAAATTTTTGGGTGTTTCATTCCCACCAGCCAGT